GCTGAGAAATAAGGAGAAATGAAAATGTCGGGGGAAAAATCATCGCCGCCACTTTGCGGGATGGGAAACGGGGCGGCCCCAAAGCGGAACGGAGCCCCCCTAAAAAACGGGATTTTTTGGGGGGGCTGTGGGGGGGTCCCGGCTGTGCCCCCCGTCCCCAATTCCGCCCCATTTGCGCCCATTCTCCCCGCCACCATTTTGTCCTCTCCGCGACGGCCGCATTAAGATGGAGCTGCGGCGCTGCGCTTCGGCACCCGGCGGTGGGCGCGGGGCGGGGGGCAACCGGAGCGGCTGCGGGACCCCGGGCCGGGAACGGAGCCGACAGCAGCGCGTCCCGCACCGCCCCGCAACGCCCCGCCGAGTGCCCGCAGCGCCCGCAGAGCTGTCGGGGATCGCGGGCTGTCGCGATATGCGGGGGGGGCTGCGGGGCTGGGCGCATCTCCGGGGGTCCTGCGGGAATCCGGGCCGAGCTGCCCGGTGCCGAGTGGACCCGAACAGAGCCGAGCTGGGCCGAGCCGAGTTGGGCCGAGCCGAGCCGAGTCGAGCCCAGCAGAGCTGCTCGAATCGAGCCGAGCCGAACCGAACCGGGCCGAGCCCAGCAAAGATGCTCGAACCGAGCCGAGCCCAGCCGAGCAGAGCCGATCCCAGCAAAGATGCTCGAACCGGGCCGAGCCCAGCTGTGCCGAGCCGAGCCGAGCCGAGCCGGGCTGCTCGGACCGAGCCGAGTCGAGCCCAGCCGAGCCGAATGAACCGAGCCGAGCAGAACCGAGCCGCTCGAATCGAGCGGTTCCGTGCGGCTCCGTGCCCGGCTGATGGCGAGCGGCCGACCTCGGCCCCGCGCAGCGCAACACGGAGCTCCGGCACCGCCGGGTCCGTCAGCGACCCGACCCGCACCGCGACCCCGCAGAGGAGCCGGGGGGGGGGCTGGGGGGGGGGGGGGGGGGGAAGCGGCGCTCCGAGCCGGCGGGGCCGAAGTTCGGGGGTTCGTTTCGAGGCCGAATGGAAGCAGTGAGAGAGGGGATGGAAACGGCGCACGGGGACGGGAGAGCGGGGAGGAAAAGGTAAAAACCGGAATGAATAAAGGAAAAAAAAGCAGGGGGAACGGCCGGGAGGGTGGGAGGGGGGTGGGGGGGGAACGGAAAGAAAAAGAAAAAGAAGGGGGAAAAAGCCTAATAATAAACAGCCCTTCGCCCGCCGCCGCTCCGTGACGCTTTTCTCGTGCGCCAACGGTTCAAAAGCAGAACCGCTCCGTGCGGGGATGGAGGCGTGCGGGACGGGGGGGTGAGGGGTGCGGGGATGGGGGGCGGGGTGGAGGGGGATGCGGTGCGGGGTTGTGGCGGGGGGATGCGGGCCGTACCTCGCACCAGGATGCGGCGGCAGAAATCCCCCTCCCCCGGGGCGGCCGGGCTGACGCTGCCCGGAGCGCAGCTCTCGGAGGTTCCGGGGCTGAATGCCGAAGTCCCCGGGACGTCCCCGCAGTTTTCCCGCAATTCTCCGTGCTGTTCGTGGCGGTTCGTCGTTTTTTTCCGAGCCCTCCCGCCTGCGGCTCCGGCTTCGGTTCCTCCATCGCTCATCCCTGCGGGCGCCGCGATCGGGGTGAAGGAACGGGAGAAACGCGGACGGGAGGCAGCGATGGGGAGGGAGAGCGGCCCCCCCCCCTCTGCGGACCCCCGCCCCTCCCCCGACCCCCCCGACCCCCCGCACAGCCCGGGTCGGGAGCACCGCACCCCCCCGCTCCGTGTTTTCCAGCCGCCCCCCCCAAAAATCCAAGCCGGGAGCCGCAGCCCCATAAATGAACCCGAATGGAGGCGAACGGGAGCGAGGATGGGAGCGGGAACGGGGCGGGGGGGGGAATGAGTTGGAATGGGGTAAAATCGGGCTGGAAATGGAAAAAGCCGGGTTGAAACGGGGTAAAAAAGCGGTTGGGGGGAGGCGAAAGTGAGTGAAAACGGGCTGGAAGGGGGAAAGGGGATGAAATCGGGCTGAAAGGGGGGGAAATTAGGAAAGCCGGGTTAAAATGGGTTAAAAGGGCCGAAAGGAGCTGAAAGGGGGTGAAAACGGGCTGGAAAAGGGCAGAAATGGGTAAAAAGGGGCTAAAAATGGGTTAAAATCGGGCTGAAGGGGGTAAAAAGGGGCTGAAAGGAGCTGAAAGTGAGTGAAAACGGGCTGAGCGGGGGAAAAGCGGGGAAAAGCGGGAGAAAAGCGGGCTGAAATCGGACTGGAAGGAGCTAAAAATGGGTTTAAACGGGCTGAAAACGGGCTGAAATGGGATCAAACGGCTTAAAAAAGGAGCTGCAAACGGGTTAAAAGGGGTAAAGCGGAGCTGAAGACGAGGTTAAACGAAGCGAAGAGGGAGGGAGAAATTTTACCCCCCTCCCCAACCCGACCCCCGCTCCCCCCCCGACCCCCACCTCGCTCCGCTCCAACTTCAGCCTCTCCTCCGCTGCTCCGCTCGGCTCCGCTCGGCCATGGAGCGGCGATTCCCGACCCTCGGGGGGCACCGGGGGGGTTCGGATCCCGGGGGGGTTCGAGGCCGGGAGATGCGGACGTTCAGAGGGGTCGGGAGCCGCTCCTCCTCTTCTTCCTCCTCTCCTCCTCCTCCTCCTTCTTCTCCTCCTTTTCCTTCTCCTCCTTCTCCTTCTCCTCCTCCTCCTCCTTCTTTTTCTTCTCCTTCTTTTTCGTCTTCTTCTTCTTCTTCTTCTTCTTCTTCTTCTTCTTCCTCCTCCTCCTCCTCCTCCTCCTC